CAACTTTTAGGCCCAAAAAAATCTTTGTGAGACTAAATTTTACTTGCTATATTGATTAAGCTATTCTTTACTCTAAGATATTACTAGCTAATCACTGGTTCATTAATGTTTGTATATTTAATAGAACACTTGCATATCTATGTTAACTTGGAACCCACATATCTCCTTAAGGTGACTGAAGAGGCAATGATTTCCATGCATCTGACAGATGCCTCTCTAGACAAAATTTTGCAAGTGCTTTCTTCACTAAGTCTCCACATTACAATGTTATGGATCACTACGCTCTCTTCCACAGGAAGCTGTTTCTCTCCTCTAAACCATCTGTGAACCAATTTTCTGACTATAGATGCTGATTATACTTCTTAAAAGTTCTATGGCACCAAAAGAGATTGCATCCAGGATACTCCCATTTCTTTCAAAAGTCCCTTCATTTCTCCTGTTTTCCCATCTGCTAGTTCCTGCTGAGAGATGGAAAAGATTGGTCTGGGAGAATGATGGAAGAACAGAAGGGGAAAGAAGTTGACCAGGGATGCTGTATTCTGAGAGCTTACTGCTTGAAAATAATTAATTGTTCAGTTAGGACAACTATAAATACCACCTCAAAAGTAGATCATTAAAAACATTTTTAACTAACAAAAGGAGTGTATGATACATAAATGGAATTATTGGAATTACTTCAAACTTAAGAAACCATATGAATTATTTTTAAATGAAAGTATAAGCGTGATTGTATTATAAAAAGTCTTAGAATTATAAAATTCTAAAATAGTTTATCATTTTGTATTAAAAGACTTTATAATATAGTTGAAATCTCATGAAATTATTCCTCTTTTCCCCTCAGTGATTTTTCTCTCTCTCCCTTGTCATTATGCACATTCAAATCTATTCTATAAGGTTAGCTGATGTTCTGAAAAATTGGGAAGAAGATAGTGGGGTTCCGGTGATGACGTCACCGTGCTTAGAGCGGAGGAAAAGGAGCTCTCCTAACCTTTAACTCTAACTTCTTCGTTTGGGCTCATTTTTAAGCGCTGTTGATCCTGAAGGGGCCAGTAGATTAAGGGGGATATTCTGTAGACATTGGGGTGATAAGGCAAATCCCCCAGCGGATAGGAGAAACCCCCTAAACGGACAAGGAACTATCCTGCCATTTGGTTAGGACCAGAACAATGGCAACCGCGTAAGAAGGAAGGAAACAGAGAGAGAAGCAGTTGAAATCGGATACTTGTTACTATTACTGACAACCCAAAGAGGAGGGCAACGCGAAATTGGCAGAGAGGGTGAGCTGGAAAGAAGAAGGCACCAGGAAGGAGGCTGTTTCTGCAGTTCAATTTTGCCGAAAAGAAGTGGAGCAGAGACGCTGAGTTGGAAGGGACAGCCGGAATAAGTTAAAGGAATTAGCCACAGTGAGAACGAAAACCCGACATGGACAACAGGAGTGGAAAATAATATCTGCCAAAAAGATTTGGAAAGTTCAGAGAAGAGATTGTTTAACAGTCGGGTTGGTATACTGAGTTCCTTTTTTTTCTGCTCACTCTTCCTTCTGCTGCTTTGTTGAACTTATAAGTACTTGATATTTATTTGCCTTGGAGCTTGGAACAATGTCA